TCCCACTCTCCGAGCTTTTTTGGAACGCCAACTACGAATTTTTGAAAGTTTCGTAGCAGGCACCGCTTAAATACAGAACGCCCTGCACAGAATGGGTTTGTTTCAGTCATTTCGTCCGCGAACTGATTGCCTATCGTCTGCCACTTTTTCCGCTCTCGGGGCTCTTTTGGAACCGAACTGGGAATTTTTGAAAATCTCGAAGCAAGCACCGCCCATCTGTAGAACGCCCCGCCCAAAATTGGTTTGTTTCAGTCATTTCGTCCACGGACTAATTGCCTATCGTTTGCCACTTTTCTTCGCTCTCGGGGCTTTTTTGGAACCGAACTACGAATTTTTGAAATATGAAGCTCACAACTATGCGCACGCGCCGCCCACAGTGGGCGGGGCTTAGCCTAGTTCACGTGTGTTTCGTACATCTTGGCCCATGCCCTACCCATCCCAACCTTGACCCGCCCCCTGAGACTGGCTCTTCAGGTAGTTCCGAATTTCCGGACAGACAGACAAACAGACAGACAGACAGACAGACAGACAGACAGACGTCGCCGTTTATATATAGTTAAAACATCATTACACAAGCAAAAAGGTGGCAATAAAGCGAACTAAAACATGGAAAAAAAACAAGCGTTCTAGAGTCCCGAGAAAAGGAAACTACGCAGCGTTGTTAGTGACATATCGCGACATTTTCTTGCGCAGCCTTCCACAGATGCACCCGGAAAGCTTTTGCGTGCAGCTTTGATAGCTGATTTTTCAAAATCGAGTATCACTCGTCAAGGAGCATTGGAGGTGATAGTCGCTGAAAACTTGTCCCCAAGGGTAGTTTGACCTCCTGAACACGAATATCACATCCGCTCTGCACGAAACTGGCTGGCATGCGCCATAGGCGCCGGCGTCAAGGTACCCTAGATCACTAAATCCGCTGCAATTCGTACCAAGGGGTAGCTTGTTTTCCTGATTACGAATAGGCACATCCACTCGGTCTGAAACCGCCTGGCGCCCACGCCACAGGCGCTGACGCTAAAGTACCCACCGAAGCGCTGAAAAGTTGTACACGGAGGTTATTTGACATCTTGATTACAAATATCTCAGTCATTTTGGCGCTGGCGCTGATGGAAGACGCTGCGATCATCTGCGCTCTGCTAGGCTGAGCCTGACCTGAAGGAAATCACTCTTTCTCCCAGGCTCAGCCTTAGAAAAGCGCTAAATGGCGCTGGCGTCGAAAAAATAATCATATTCGTGATCAGGGCATCAAACAACCCCATTGCGCAGGTTTTTACCGATTCTGATAAAAAGGGTGTGGCGCCACCCTTTTTTTACGCTTTTTTCAGCTCTGACGCAGTTTTCAGCTCTGACGCATTTGACGCCTAATGGCGTCAGAGCTTCGGTATTGGTGATCAGGACATTAAATAATCAGGACATTAAATAACCCTACTATGCAAAGTTACAGTGAATTTGGTGAGAAAGGTGGCGCCAGTTCGCGCCATTTTGGCGCCGAAGCACTGAAAACATGTACTATTCGTGATCAGGACGCCGAATTAACTCTGTGGGCAAAGTTTCAACAGTTTCAAAGAGTTTAACTTGGGTACTAATAGTTGAATAGTGCCAAAATTCTATCCTATACATCTATTCACTTACACATTTCTTGTCATTCTGTCTTGAGTGAGCCTGGCAGTGAGAGGTCACCAGTCAGCGTAAGCAGTTAAGCGGGGTATCCCACTGGCAAGTATGCGGAGGTGCGAAAAAGTAATTATAAGGTCATCTCAAACTATATCACCACTCCCCGCCTGTAAGCCCTCGGCTATCGAAAAGTGCTGGCTCGATGGACGGATGGTGCGCTGTGCACCTGAGTACCCCTTGACCAGTCTCCGCTTCTCCGCCCTCGTCAACAGGAGTTTCTAGTGCGGCTCAGCTCCAGAAACTCGTGGAAACTGCTGGAGGAAAATGACAGAGCTAGCTTCGGGGCACCTCGTTCCCGAGGACGGAGACCCCATACTGCTATGGAGACCTACCAAATAATTGAGGAGCAAGGCTGGGAGACCAAACCCCGCTCATCGTACTCTCCTGACGTAGTCCCCTACGACTGCTACCTGCTCCGCCTCCTTAAGGCTTTCTTAGCTAAGAAAACTTTCAGCAACTTTGATGACATCAGTCGAGAGGCGCCGACTTACTACTCGCAGCCTCCCCAGCTACAGGAAAGGAATGCTTACCTGCCCATTAGGTGGAGCACTGTAGTGGCTAACAGTGGCTATCATATTGCTGTTAAATTTCTGTTCTGTGTTGAGTTGGAAAATAAAAAAGAAAATAGTCACAATAGTGAGACTTTCTTTCCAACCTAATAGTATGTTCCTACGGTCCAGTTCATACTTCACGACTCGATCCATTCAGCCCAGCCACTTTGGAATCGCACTTTTGCTAGCGACCGGGCTCATTTATGGTTGCAACGGTGCTGCGATCGAAAGGACTTCTATGCTTGATATGGAAATTCCAAAAGGCATTCGAACTGATTCAATTAGCATCTGCAGCGGTCGAACGATGAGCGATGAACCGCGGTCGATCGCGCCAGAGCGATCGACCGCGCTTCAGAGACCCCCCAAATCAGGGCACATCGATGTTGGGGATTCCCAAACAGGGGAGTCGTATTAGGTCGCTGGGAGAGGGGTTGTCGTACTTGGGCTGAGAAAAAAATTCTTTTTGATAGTAGATTCTTGTTTTAGGACGCTGTAAGGGTGGAGGTCATATTTATAATTTGGAGGTTAGTGTATTAATGCCCCCCTGCCCCTCCCTCGCTCGACTGCAAAATTTTTGGGTGAAAGAGGGAAAATTTTCCGGAAATTCCGGTAAAAGTTGTAAGAAGTTGAAAAAATTCATGAAAAGTTAGCCAGGAGGGTCGTACCAACCTCCTCCAACCCCTAAAAAAGGGGAGTCGTATGGGGTAGACCAAAATCCCCAACCGGTCATGAACCCCGCCCTAAATACATAGGGCTCACGTCACAGAAAATCGCCCGGTCAGTACGCTCCTCTCGCCTACGGACAACCTGAACTCAATCCCTTTGAACGCGTCGATCTTCTGTTTTTCTCTGCACTCTCTCGTCCGCATGGCACTCTGTGGCTGTTGTGGCTTCACACATTCCAGAATGTCACGATTATAAGTGATCCACCCACCTGTAGTTTCCTCCCCTCAAAAAGCCCGTTTCCTGACTCGCTATTCTTGCACGTCTCGATGCTTTGGCAGTTTTCCACTGAACTCTCATCTTCCTAAAAAAAAACCGGTGTAATTTCTTCTGTATACAACCTCTTCGAGAACGGTTGGGGGAATCGTGCCACCCATACTCATTCTACGACCAGGGTGTATTTTCATAGTTCCGAATGCTGTTTCAGACGGAGAACGTTGCTGCTGCAGGCATCGAGTCGGTTTCGCAGCACTTGTGCTTCTGAAGAAAATGAGTAACGCACACATACACACGCCTTCATGACCATTATCAATTTTTTTTGTCGTAACGTGGCCAACAATTGCTGCAGAACGGTCTCTCGGGCAAGTTGCAACAATGGGTGTAGTCCCTGTGATCCGACATCGAGCGCTTCACGTCGCCCGCCCGCTTTTCGCCTTGTGCCCATGGATGAACGTTATGGTGCCCTCTGTCGAACAACAATTTTTTTGTTCTTCCTTTTGGACTTTGACCAAAATCTAACCCGCATGCCTGCTTCGAAAAGACCATACTAGCCCACTCACTGGTCAGGCACGGGATGAACTTTAGCAAGCGCGCTTCCCTGGTATGACCCGATTCAATGATCCAGCACTAATTTTCACCAGTTGTAGTCTCTTTTCGGTTTCCCGAATTTTTCGTCTGTGGCCGCCAACTTTCGCCGAAACCTACGCTAAACAACAGCTTCCAAAGATGGTAGAAGGCAAACCCTTAACTTCTTTGCTTTCCTGCCATTCACCCATGTGTCCACGTACTTGCTAAGATTACCTAGTGTCCCTATTCACCTATACTATCTCAAATCTGTGGGTCTTTGCTGCGTTGGCTGGCGACGCTTCCCGTGTAACTCCCCCTACACACTATCGCAGTTCTTTTTTCGGGAAAAAAAGGGAATTTTTGATAAATTCGTAAGGAAGTCGGGGAGATTGGAAACTGGTATGTGAGGTATAGGAAAATTTCGGGGGTTGCACTAGAAGAAGGCGTTCTGGCGTGGAATCGCACTGACACGTCCATTTCACCCATCCCATCCCCACCCTGCTTGCACTAGCCCCGTGATTGGAGAGATAGCGATGGTTCGTCTGAAGAAGGGACGAAACAGACCATGTTTTGGAGCGCCTTTTCGATCATTTGCTCTTCCTTTTACCTACACTCGAAATTCCTGAGATCGGGTAGGCGTGGCCGCATGTTTCAACTTAACCTGAAGGTGTCTATGCTTCTGGTGGAATATTTCCACCTTGACACAACTGTTGTCGTGTCTCTGTTCGACCACAGAAGCAATGATTCAGTCTGTCCCGACAGGAATATTCCACGAGGTAACCAGTTCCGTGATATGTTCAAATGCCACGCCTACTGACTCAGGGATAAGAAATATAACTGTTTGCTTCCTGAACTGCCATTTGATGTACACATAGTCTATTTTGCTGCGAATTCTGGGCGTGTCAGGGGGATTGGGATTGGTTTGCGCGCGGCGGGGGTGGCGCTGACTCTGTTTCCACATGCTACTGTTGCACATCTATCGGAGGAAAGCTTGGCAAGCGACCACATATTGATGTAAAACGGGCTGGCCCTAACCACTCCCTCCCTAATACGCCCCAAATGACTAAATACTCTCTTGGGGTCGGGAAATCCTATCAAGGCGACTATATTTCTCTGGACACTATTCGACCTTCATAAAAGGCATCACTACATCCCCCTTTCGAATGAAGCTCTCAAAGTGGGTGAAAACAAATAGCCAGAACAATTATAGTTTCTGATAAAGAAGGAGCTTCTATTCTACAGTGAGCAAGATTTGAATATTTTCAGATACGCACTCGCTTATGGCACAGCTCGAAACGTTCAGGAGTACCGATTGCCGCCGATCAACAACAGACCTCAATATGGACCTATGACTGATGTCGCTCATGCTCTTTTCGACCCCGCACAATACGAATCTAACCCGCTAGTGATTCCATAACCTATTGTATTATTCAAAGAATAAACTGCGAATTTCAAGTGGTATTGCCGCGGAAAAGGGTAGTACAAAATATTTGGCAATCATTTTTTTCTGCTGAATAGATTTCAAACAGGTTCAGGCTTGATTGAAGTACGTATGTTGGTTTACGGGCGGGCAGCAGATCCAGTGATGCTGGTGGAGGGACGTCTAGTCACACCCTAGGCATGGCGGGAGAGCCTCAACCCCCTCCTGTCCTATGATCCTGGAACTGCTGACCTGAGCAAATGTAGTCACTACCTTCAGCAAATTGGTAGAAGTACTATGAACTCAACTTCTCCCACAGTAGTGCATATTGCTTCCATGTTCTACAGAAGGGCTACATCAAACTGGACCTAGCTACTATTCCAATCTTCCAGAGCGTTTGCCACTGACACCTTCCAAAAAACTACCAAGAAAGGCGCGATTGCTGGCTGACCTTCCGCTGTCTGAGCAGTACAGAGAATCTGTACATTTCGCACTTCATCAGCACATAAGAGGGTGCAGATGAACGTGGCGTGACGCGGTTCAGCCAGACCGCTACTAGAGATAGAAATCATTAAGAAATATGTGTAAAGAAACCGACCCTGTACTCTACAAGTGTGAGAAACCAACCGATTAATCCTGCCCCTAGGGAATTGTCATTACATGAAAAAAGCGCAGTGAAAGTAGTTTTGCTGTTGTATCGCAGTCCATCTCCACAAGAAATAAACTGCTGCTATGGGCGAGGTCAAGCGACATGATGTTCTGGGGTTGAGTAATCCACGTCACAACACATCATGCTGTCTCGGTGAGAGGTTACAAATAAATATACAATGACGCGACTTCGTCTCTCTGAAGAGTGTCCCCTCCGAGGCACATAGTAGTACACAATTTTCTCTGCTTAGCATGCTTGGATAGTATTCAAAGCAACTCCCCGAAATAGTGTACACGATGCTTTTGCAGATTCAACACCTCTTTCCCTTCTTCTTTGTCATCCACTTTATTCTTTTTGTCTTCTCGCCCGCTCTGCGGAGCCATTTTGATTTATATTATTTTACGGCGAAAGATTTTTTCATTATCGGGAACTCTTGACGGAGCAGCCCGAGCCGACAGGCGATTGATTTCATTTTCTATCGTCTTTTGACAATCAGATTGATTTTGTTCCCTATCATCGCTCCACTAAGGCAACAAATTCTATCAGAAACCGTTCATTCATTGGTTTATTGGTGTGCATATGATGGGTAAAACTAGATTCCAGAAATTCCATTCTATTTTCCATGCGAGCAATTGATCTCGCATCACTAGTCAACTTTTTAGGCCATATTCCTATTTCTTGGCCAAGCACCTTCTCTGATTGTTGATTTTGTGAAGGGGTGAGGTGAACGCTTTTCATTCAAAGGAACTCTACCACACAGTAGTGAGACAATCACAATCTACAAATGTCATTGAGCTCCACCTTTTGAACTGGCTGTGTTTTTCGTACTTTGTGTAAGCATCCAGCCAGCGACCAGCAGCGTTCTGAGCGTCGACAGTGTCAGCGACTAGGAAAGTATATGAAGAATCGGTCCATCGCACAGCGTTCTCGGCTAGGGAAGTCTAGATGTCGATCCAGCGAACAGCAGCGTCTACTGGTGTCTACCAGCGACCAGCAACGTCTAGAAGTGGAGAATGTAGATCGACAGGAGAGAAGCAGGCAGCTGGTACCCTCCTATCGCCTCAAACTCTCTACCAGCAGTTTGTCAACCTCCTATCCCCCAATACTTCACCAGCTTGTCTGCTACCCTCCTCCTGTTGACCCGTGTTCTCCACTCGTGAAGGCTGCTGGTCAGTGGTGGATGCTGGTAGGCGCTGCTTTTCGCTGGATCGATACGTATAATTCCCCAGCCTTCGAGACGCTCGTGGACGCTCATTGTCGCTGGTGGATGCTAGTGGACGCTAATAGACGCTGGTGGACCCCCGCACCCGCAAAGCATGAAGGCAGCGTAAAAATGCTTCCAAGCTAGGTGCCATAGCGATTTAGATGTGTTATGGTCCGTCAAAGAGTCTCATAGAATTTTCGAATACGACCCTCCCTCAAAATTTCCTACTCTGCTACGATCCACCTCCCAACCCCCACCCTTCCTACAATCCCTAGATTATTCCCAACTTTCCACCGCTCTCCCGGTGAAAGTGTCCAGTTTTTGAAAGTCAGAAAACAGGCGACAACATTCTCCTCAGAGGCAACTAGGACCTTCCTCCCTCCAGCGACTAAATCTAGCCCACTCGCTGGGGATCCCAATGTACAACGTGCCCCGCTCACAGTGGTTTTCTCGCACCTTTCATCCTAAATGCGCAGTGAACTACTGGAACAGTGTGCACGGCCAGTAAAACATTCATCGGAGGAGACCTCGAGTTTGGATTAAACCTCTTCAAGATGGACTCAGAGGGGCTTCAACGTTCCCAAGTGTCTGGTACACCTTACAAGTACGCAGGGCCGTCGTTTACCGCCCATACTAACGCCTCCAGAAAGTCGCATAGTTTTTGCTAGTCTCTAAGTAAAATCAGAATTACAATACTCTCTCATAAGATATGCGATTCAGCAAGAAGTAGGCCACTGATTCCCAAATGCGCCGTCAGTTAGAGTGTGGAAGCTGATTTACACTATACCCCTTCTACACCACGACTAAATTTGAATGCTCGCCGACATTTTCGCTACACACTCTGTTTGATTGCGTCGCCTTTCGGTCCGTAGGTGTTTCGAAATTCTTTTGCTGGAGGTCCTGGTCCTTTGCAGTTGTAAATCATTTCCTTTGAATCTCTAGTGTAGAGACAACTGCTGACTTATTATGAAGGAGTTCGTTTGTTTATGTTTTTACATTTTGAAAATTTGTCGTTGAGCATGTGGTTTTCATTGAATAATATTGGTGCATCTAAGCTCTGGGCGCCAGTTCGCTACATCGGGTCGTTTTGCAGGGTCCTGCGGAGTAATAGGTAAGTTCACATCTAAGTCAAACGCTGGTACCACTGATTGCCTAAAGTAGTTGGTTCATCCGCGCCAGAGTTCCCTCCTCCCACTAGGCCTGATATTCATGGTTCTGCTCAGCAAAAGGGTTTTTTTTTGGTCCCGACTATTCCTTGCTACATGCAGACTATTTATTCCGCAAAGGTCGTTGGTGAAAACGCTCATTCCATCACAATACCCTTTCGGCAGTATTGATTACATGGGCAAAGTTCATTTTTGTTTTGTTCCCGTGTTTATGGCATTCAATGGCGTGTTTGGTTAGGCAGGATACCAGTTACCTTGGTAAAATACTTATGACTATTTCGCGAGTTATTTTTGCCGTGGGTTAGAATTTAATTGAGAATTATGACGTCAATGTGCGTCTCAATTCAAAATTATGAGATGTGGTGGACGTTTGAAATTACAGATTGAAAGATATGTGGTGTTTGTAGTGCGGAATGTTTTTGCAGAACCGCCAAGGGTGCTACGATAGTAGAGTGAGCCTTACGGTAGCGCTTTGGCGTCCCTTCACTTGAAGAGGACCAACGCTTGAACTGCAGACGGTCAGAGTAGAGCAGCGACTGCTCACTTTGTGAGAGTAGCTCGCGGCGACTCTGGTCGCCCGCGCTGTAAGAGGAGGCCTGAGTTTTGGTTAGAGAACGAGACGCAGAGACGCTGCCGTGAGGCTCACGCAACTAAGTTAGCGCCTAGTGAGCGTCTCCATCAAGCCACTTACTTCATCAGGGTCATACTTTGTACTCTGAGCAATCGGGGAACAGGGTACAGCATCGTGATGTGAAGTGGTGGTGTAAGTACGACCACCCCCCCCCCTCCTACCTTCCCCAACACCTACCTACAAATTTCCCCCATTTTCCACTTTTTTTTTTCTACCCGATTTTCCGTCGGGGGGGGGTGGTATATAGTGCACATGAAACAGGAAAAATCACGCAAAAAGTCAACAACCGGAAAACCAACGCGACAAATTTCTCTCAAAGGCACATACGACCCCCCCCCCTCTCCCAACGACCAAATACGACCTCTACTGCCCAGAGAAAGAATGCGACCCCCTCCCTTGTGTGTTTCACACAACGATGCTATACCCTGTCGGGGAATCAGATGCTTCATAAAATTAATGCAATGAATTTCGATTGATCTTTGAATCTATTGGTCTCGCGACTCTGTGACTCGCTGTCGCAAGGACTTAAAGACATACACTGCGTCCCAAAAGTATACAGCCACCCATAAATCTCACAATATCCCTCCCTACACGACGTTTTCAAAAAAAGCCTCTAGGTATAAAATGTGGTAATTACCAGTACCAATTTGCATGCCAACTCCGAGAACTGACTTTCCAGAGCAACTTCAACTTTCTTTATTTTTTGAAAATTTCTCACTATGACAATGTCCCACAAGTATACAGCCACTAAACGAATCGATTCAGAAAACAACAAGTGTACAACAAATTTAATAAATCGTCATTTCAATAATCTATTGCAGCCCCATTCTTTCGAATAAGTTCGAAAATGCGGTTGTCCATGCTCGAATAGAGGTGGTCTATAAGTGTTTTGTCGACATGGTGCCATGCATCAATGATAGCCTCCTTGAGCGAACGGACATTTTCGAATCGCGCATTGTGCGCGTATATCCTGCGTACCATGAAGCCCCAAACATTCTCGATAGGGTTTAGGTCTGGGCTATTCGCTGGCCAAAAGAGTGATTTGATGACGGCTGAACCACGCTCGAGTGCTCCGGCTGACATGGATTGGTGCATTGTCTTGCACGAATACAGGACTTTCATGCCGTATCCTTCGCCAGAAAGGTAACAGACCTCGTCGCATTACCTCTACGTAGTCGGAAGAGTTCATTTTCTTCGATACGAAGCACAGCTTCAAACGTCCCGTTGATGCGATCGCAGCCCAGACCATGACACCACCCCTCTCTGAAGTTCCGCCTCGAAAAATTGAGCTTATCTTTCCTGAGATCGTGCCAGTAGAATCTATTTCCATCGGGGCCGTCGCAGTTG